TAGTAGGGAAGGATTGAGTAAGAGATGAGAGGAGGAGTGCGAAGAGGATGGTTGAGATGTTGTTATGATAGGATTGTAGTGGAAGAAGGGAAAGATGAAGTGAGGAGGTGGAGTTGAGGGACGAGCGAGATGGAGTATTTTGCGGTGTTTGAGAGATCGGTGGATATGATGGAGTGTAAAGGATAGGGAGAGATAGATTAGGGGGGACTAGGAAAAATTAAGGAATGCCCAACCTTGTTGACGATTCATCTCTACACTCACCATATGCTCCTGATGCTCATTCTGGCCTAGTCAATCACTCAAAATTGTATATATACAATCATATTGTACACTGATTCCCCGGTCCAAGTACAACCGATGCCTCTCAGAAAGTGTCTTTTTCTAAGAACCTGTGTTTGTGTCATCAATTAGCACGTCTCAAAGCTATGATGTTTTGTTCACATTTTCCTGTTGAACTGATAGTCAACCTTACATGAGGGACGAGTGAGATAGAGTATTTTGCAGTGTTTGAGAGATTGGTGGATATGATGGAGTGTAAAGGATAGGGAGAGATAGATTAGGGGGGACGAGGAAAAATTAAGGAATACCTAACCTTTTGTTCGTCCTTTGCTCTTAGTGATGATTTTCCTAACCTTTCCTCTTAGTCATGCTTCCTTTCCTTTGCTCTTAGTCATGATTCCTTCCCTTCGTACCTTCTTTCCTTTCCTTTATGTCACCATTCCTTTCCTTTGTGTCATCTTTCCTTTCCTTTGTGTCATCTTTCCTTGTTCTTGGCATTAAGTCTAACCATTTTAGACATAGTTCTTCCTCTGTAACCAAGTATGTAATGCTTCTTTCCTTCTGTAACCGATTATATAATTTCCTCTTTCCCTCTCTAACCATATTAGGACTTTCCTCGAAGGAAAAATCTATGCCCCCATAATTTTTCAACTCAAATAGATAGGGGACGGGTGGACGGTGGGATGGTTGCATAATGTATGTTGCCAAAAGGGGAAGGGGACGGGTGGACAGTGGGAAAGTTGCATAAGTGACTTTAACCAAAAGAGGAAATCCAAGTGCAGAAAAAACACTGATGGGAAAAAAAGCCAGGGGGACGGGTGGACGCTTATGTAAATTATGTCCAAATAAGGCAAAGGTGGACGGGGACGTTTGCACCCTGTAAACAGTCACAACATATAGATAGATGCTAGTGAGATACAAGGAAAACAGTCGAAAAGTGATGGGTTCAAGGAAGTTCAGGCACACCAGTCATGTGACTGTCCCAATGCGGGTGTCCCCCTCCCAATATGGGTGTCCCCCTTATGTAAGTGTTCCCTTCCCAATGTGGGCGTCCCCCCCCCTATGTAAGTGTCCACCTGCATCGGGAGCTTGGCGAAGGCGAGGTTGTGGTTTTACGATGAAGTTGCAGTCCGCAGGGAAGTATGTAGTCAACATCATGTTGATGGGACCGTACCATGATGCCTCATAGTGAGGCAGGTTGGCCTGAAGTGCCTGCAAACACTGCAGAAGCCAACCTTGGAGAACATTTTCCATCATATTGCTAACAAGGGCTATCAACTAACATGTCATTTTCCCACTGCAGAAAATCGCAGGGAGACAAACCTACATATATAATTGGATCTATCATCAGATTCCTCCCTACTACACCATTGTCCTTCCTTGGAGGAGAGATTATTTCATGGATCTTGCACCAAATCTAAGATTCTTGTATAGGAAACCTTTCAATCCCAGGTATCCTCATGCACATTTTAGAACTTTCTATTTTACAAGATTGAGCCTCATCACTCAAATTCAGGTTGTGGCACAAGCAGTTGGGCAAAGTATGTTTTCTCCTACCAGTATGATATCTAAACCCACCTTGCTTTAATGTCCCTAGATTAACTCTTGCCATAATGCATGGGAGACAACAAGGAGCCACTACATCTAGCTTGGATGATTCTACTTGTAAGTCCAACTTTTTTTTTCACAGGGTATTTCTCTGGTGCCAGGTACTTTATTTGGCTGTGTTGTCAAAGTGCGAACACTAGTTCGTGTATACCTTATTAAGGAAACAAGCATTATAAGATAGGAGTAAAGATGACAGTAGAGGAGTATGAATGATGGCAGAGGAGACTTGTATAAATCATGGATATGACAAGCACACAGAAACCAAGTTAAAACCCAGAATGCAGAGGTGCAATGGGAGTTATCTTCTTTCAAGTTCCACCACCCCCCTCAAACCCTCCCTACAGCTGCAGCTGCTAGACATCCTCTCTGGCCCTTCATTAGGTGTCCACTGCCATTACACTTCCTCACAATGCAATACCCAGATGAAGCAGATGATTTTGCCCAGCTTACCCTGGAACAATTTGTCAACCATTCTCAGTACTTGTTTATGCCCATGCATAACCAGACAATGGATCAGGCTGCAGCAGTATTTTCTCACTCAGCTGGTAAAAGGTATATAAACTGTTAGTCTGCCTGATGAGATGGCCAGTACCATTGAAAGCAGGCCTTGCATTTAGCAGGCCTTTACTTACACTCAACTAACTTCCATCTCTTTCACTCAAATTGCCTCACAACCTTGCTCCACTTGGTTGTTTGGCTCCCCCCTAACCTACCAGAGCATACATGTGCTGCCAGCTATAGTCCTATATGAGCAAGTTGAATGTGTTGAGATGGACATACCACATGTGGTAGTATTTGTCCAGAAGTGGAGTACTTAAATATAATGTTGGTGTTGTCGGGGAATTGGTTTCCGAGCACTGCATTGGAGTAAATCAAAAGAGCAAAATAGCGGACCGCATGAGGGACATCTCAACAACCTAAGTGTACTAACCAGAAATGACTGTGACCCGAATAACGAAGTATCAGTATATACCTTGAGGAGTAATGGCACAGCCTCCATTGTTTACTCTTTGTTGTTCGTCATAGCTTGTTAACCGAATATTTCTCCCAAATTAGTCGTTCACCGCAGCGCGCTGGAACTCTTCTTTGTCGTGTCACGCAGCGAGCACGACTTGACCGATCATAATACGTGTAGTGTCTAATGGTTCACCGTCTGCCAGACTCTCGTCTCCTGTCCAACCTTATAGCATACGAAAAGGAGTATACGAAACATCTATCCGCTCTTTTCCCCATATCACATGCTGCTCTCGCTTCTCTTTCTGCATTCGCCGCCGCCTCTCCTTCTGCTAAGCCCTTTTCTAATTCTTCAGTCTCCCTAGCCCAAACTATTGGCGCCATCGTTGATATCCTCGCCGGCGCCGACGATGCTCTTCAGCTTTACAATCAGGCGGTCGAGAACTGGCGCGACCAGCTTGGTCATTTGATACAGCTCGAGGAAGACATAGCCGCTATTCTTCGTGACAGGGAAATTTTGTCCGTCCCAACTCTTTCTGTACTACCTCTCTGTTAACTATTCTTTTCAGAGTTACTCGCCTAATCAAAGTTTCGAAATCATCCAAGGCCGCACGGGATCCTCGTTCATCACTGATCTTACCATCTGGTTCTACCTCGTTCACGTCTCTCCCTTCTACCAATTCTACGACACATGGCTCATCTAGCACAAAACTTCTACAAGCTCAAGAAGAGCTACGCGCATGTGAGGCTCATTTGGCCACTAAAGAGCTCGAGCTAGAGGTACTTCGCATCAGCATAGCTAGAGAAGGTCTCGGTGCTCGCTGTCGCGCTCTTGTTGATTGTGGCTGGGCCTGGGGCGAAATGGGCAAGGAAGGTCTTCGCGCGTTACAGAGTCTTGGTGCTTCAAATCCTGATAGTCAAGGTATGTTGATATACTTGTTGTTTAAAGTACTTATTCATTCGCGTGGTGCGCACGCAGTTCTAGAACAATCATTGGCATCGCATTCACATTCACATTCGCCCTCCGCATCCATCACCCTTCCTCAACAAAAGCCTTTACCCCCTCCCGCGCTGCCCCCTCATCTCATACAGGGCCCACTATCATACTCTTCCGACATTTCCTCCCTCACACCTTCTCAAAGTGCTTCGCAACTGCACGATGGGCCCTCCCGTGAGACGAGTCAAGAAGGCGCACTTCCTGATCACCCCAGCCGCAATGGTCATGAAGAGGTGACAATCGCTATTCCTCCTGCGCACGCCATCTCAGAACTTACCATGCCCACTGGTGTCCGTTCTCCGTCCCCTCTCAGTGTCCCCTTACCTGAGAGTTCAACCGACCTTCATACCTCTGCCTCGGAATCCCGTCCCCTCCCGCGTAGAACCAGCACACAACAGAAGCGCCGTCCATTATCCAGACGTATCACGGAGGTGGACGAAAATGAGCACAGGGAGGGGCCTGCTGTCGTTGAAAATCCCTACTTCCCATCCCTTAACCACGTTCGTAGTGCAGACGATAGCAGTGAAGAGGAGGAAACTCAAGGTCCCTTGGAGGTTGTTGAAAACAATCCATTCGGACAATCGAAGCGCTTGTCCCTCCGTCACAAAGCGGCTCCAGAAACTACTGAGCACATACCCGAGCGAGACGCCAAACAGCGGGGGCGTAAGTCATCCATGAGTTTCTTCGGCTCTCTGCGCGGTTTATTCAAGACCTCGCACAAGGACCAGACTCGGGCGGAATGGGATGACACCACAGAATCTCCGCGTACGAGTAAACACAACAAAGGAAAGAAGGCCTGGTCGACACGAACAGATGCCAACTTGAAGGCTTCCAAATCTCAAGACAGTTTAGATTCTGAGCCCAATGTGGTACCCAAGCCTTCCCCGTCTTCAGGGGGTGCGAAGTTGCGCAAGGGTCGATCGCCAACGACAGCTCCTGCGTCGTTTAGTGGGTGGCAGAGTGACGGACCCCCGTCTATAAGTCCACGCGCAAGCGTCAGACGGAAAAAGAAGAAGTCAGTTGCAGAGCTGAAGGGCAAGAACGGCGGACATACAGATGGCGAGCTTGACGCAAGTAATTCAGGCTTTCCATCTCGAACCCAGTCAGAGGTTGTTACCCAGCGTCCGTCCGCGAAGCGGCAGATAACACCAACCTCCAGCCCTCAGGCTCAACCGCTTTCACGTGCCTCCTCAAACTCAACGCGGAATAGCACCACGCCTGCTCCATCTTCATCCAATCAGACACCAGCCAAGTCACGACATCGCAGAGTAACTACAGACCTCTCTGGGAAGTTTGATAGCAGCAATGGGGAAGCGTCTAACGGAGGTTCTCCGCGACGTTCAGCCTCCCTCACGTACGGTGCTGCACCTGGGGATTATTCCGCAGCTGCAAAATCGAAATCAAAGCGTACACCCACAGCAGGGACAGTACATCCTTCCCCAGCGAAAGGTAGCACTAGTGTCAGTCTTATGAGCATTGTCGAGGATGTTGCACGACAGAATCGCAATACAGGGGGCACCACGGTCAGTCCATTGCTTCCAGCGTATTCTCGCGACTTGAACTTATCTTCTAGCAGAGTTCACCTCCAAGCACAACGAAACTTGAGGTTCCACGCGCCCCTATACCAGGTGTACCTGTCAATGTGTCGCGGTCCTCCAAGCTTTCCGATGATCGATACCCTGTCCCTCGTTCAGGTTCATTGGACATTCCCCGTGCACCAGGGTCAGTCTTCTCCGCATCCCAGTCACTCCCAGTCATTTCGGGCACCCAAGGAACGACAGGACACAAATACGAGACACCACTCAATAGCCCATCTACAAAAGGGAATGGTTCAGCTTCAGCCTCTAGAAGCAAAGCCTCACGACCAGCTGTATCACCTCTTCGTTCAGCTCTTCGAAATTCCAGCCGTACACCTTCGCCCAGTCCAGCTCAATTAGCAGAGATACAGATACGAAAACGAGGAGCTGATGTGCGCGCCGAGGAGGATGATAAACCTCGTGGACGGACACCAGAGCGGGAGGATCCCGGGGAACGTACTCCAAGACCAGCTCGACCTGAGCAAGCTACTCAACCGAACGGTGTTTTGATAAGGGATTCAATTTCGATGACATCGATATCGTCATATGATACGGCGCAGGAAAGTCCTGTTGAGGGAGAGCCAGCTCCTGAACCTCAAGTTCCCCCGGCTCCCCAACATGACACCGAGTCAACAGCCTCAACTGAGACACCGCTTGCAAGACGAAAAAGTGTCCGGGTATCTCTTCAACCGACCTTCTCTTCTACTCCACCTGCTTTGGACGATGATGAAGCTCACGCCCGTTATCCCTGGAGCTCAACGAAGAAGGACAGCGACAATCAGGAGGCTCCCAGCGAACCTGGCGTATGGCAGGACTCGAGCGACGAAGATGAAGAGTACAGTCGTGCACGGAAATTGCTCAGTAGAGTCGGTAAGAAAGACAAAGGGAAGAAGAAGAAGGTATAGCCTGTTATTGGATTTTGGAGGCAGTCCCGATCAATGCAGGTGGGCTAGATGAGGCTCGTCGCATCCCTTTGACGCTTGATCGACGTTCTTTCTTCAAGTTATTTTCAGCGATTCGTTTGCGGTCCTTGGTTAATCGTCACATACTTCGCATATAATTTTTTTTCATCCTTGTGAATATAGTTGAGATTTTTACTCTATAGTTCTGAATACATAGACTGGATATTTTCTCGTTTGCCAGATGCGCTCGCCGTCGAGCACGGATTAGGTAAAAGATGCTGCACAAACACCGACAATCTCAGTGCTCACCATCCCGTATTCACAAGTTCCTCCTTGTCTTCGTCACTTCCTTGCTGAGTTCACCTCGCCCACGTTATCCGCGTTTCCCGATCTTTATTCGCATTATCTGTACAATCATTACTTGCTACCTATGGCTGAAGAGCAGCAGCAAAATTCTCAAGGACAGGAAGACTTTAAGCAAGAGGACAACGCGCCAATTAACGTCAAGGTACGAAAATCGATGGCATCACGCGACTTCCCCATCTTACAAAGGATCGCAAATCTGATCTTCTTACCCAGGTTGTAAGCTCAACTGGGGACGAGGTTTTCTTCAAAATCAAGCGCAACACCAAGTTGAGCAAGCTTCAAGGCGCTTATGCTACTAAAGTCGGCAAAGACGTGGGCAGCATTCGGTGAGCGAGTTTTTCCTATCTTCCTTTTTGGAAGTAGTACAGGTAGATTTTTCTTGGCGGAGTCATATTTGTTGGTTCCCTATGTGCTGAACTGAACGCCCTTAATCAGATTTTTATATGACGGAGCGAGAATCAATGACGACGACACGCCTGCAAGCCTCGACATGGAGGATAATGGTGAATCTTTCTGCCGTCTTATCTTTGTCCATTTCTGACACTACTCCTATCTAGATACGATCGATGTGATGGTAGAACGTGCGCACCCTTCCAGTTTCTTCGTTTCTTTCCTAAATTTTGATCTCATTGTCTTCTTTTTGGATATGCAGAGGTTGGCGGTTCATCTCCTGCATATTTGTACAGTCGTCGCCCTTAATTGTATCACTACCGATTATTCGCTTTTCTGGTCAATCTCACACACATTCATATGCATCGACCGATACCTTTTGCTCATTTGGATGAGCAACCACTTGGCGCTCAGCCGCTCTGGTGATGAATGTATCCACTTCTCTCGCCGCTCAGCGCGTTTTTCGTTGAGTGGTATATCGCTGTAGAATCTTTTCAATGTGAGGTGTGTCTACTTTATCTACCTGGGGTGTCGTGAATATTACTCTCGCACTCACAAACGATCTGTACTGTGCATTGACTCGGATCTATTCCACGTCATATTTACCCGAGATTGTCACTTTTTAGGGGGTTACTTAGCGTCAAACCCAGGGCCAAGTACTCGCTGAGCAAAAGCCCCGATAATACTGAGTCTCGCCTTCAAGAACCACTTAGAAGTTTGGAAGCTCACGAGTGCAGAATATATCTCTGTGCGACGTGGAATAGTTATGGCAGGCTTTAGGATGCAAGAGTTCAAATTCATGAGGGTGACACTTGGATGTGAGCTAGATACAACAGCAGTACCAACGGCAGTAGAATTAAACGGTCTCGCGCGGGAATAAGTGTGAATGAAATGTAACTCCAGTGTTGAATTATGAGATGAAGAATGTGAAGTTGCGGGTCATGATGTGAGAAGGATGTGAATAGATGATGTCAAATAAGTAGCATGCAAAAAATCAGAGAAAATCAGGCAGTGTTCATGCAGGTCTCCACTCAGTACCTGGTCTGTCAAACATGTGCGACGCTTCTTGCCAGCTTGCTGGAACAGGTTCACCGGAGACAGAGGAGCCTGCTAATGTAGCAGGCGCGGTTATGAATGACTGAGCCGCGGTACTAATGTCGGGTCGGCTATCATCGCTTTGCAATCCCATACGGCCGCGTAGGGATATCTAATCGCCTGAGCCCACGCTCGCAGGAGGTAGGACGAGCAGTGAGATGAGAGGTAGTGGCTTCCGAAGGTGCAGAAATAGAGGGGGCAAAGAAGGAAGGGTTCGAGGGAGCCTCTCTCAGACGGGACCCGGAGCTTTGACCTACATGTGGCCTGACTCCAAAGGTATAATTCTCGTTGCTACTGTGCACTCCCTCTGACCCACTACGTGAGCGAGAGTCGGATGAGGACACCATGTCCTCCTCAAGACGAGCCATAGACGAATTTGCACGAGAGCGCATGGTCTGGACAAGGTCCAGCGACGATCGCGAGGCGGCTCCGATGCTCTGTATGAGTGACTGCGCCCGCGAACGGACGGCTGAACCAGCACGGGATCTCGACGAACCCGACAGAGAGCCAGAACGAGAATCAGATCGTGAGCGCCCAGATTGTGAACGTCCAGAATCTGAGTGATGCCCACGGACGGCGACGGCTGCTGACCATCGAAGATTTCGGGCTGCGAGGACCAACACTGAGGAGACCAACGCTATCCTCGCCTTCTGCAGCTTCATGGGGACCTTCGGGCACAGGCTGTTCCATCATCTGCGGCTCTTCGTCATCATCTTCATTATCTTCATCTTCATCTTCCTCCTCCCCTTCCACCCCTGCCTCATCGTCAACCTCTTCGCTAAGGAATGATTCATAACCACCACCGCTGAAGGTCTCTGTCTGGCCGCTGTCGACCCGGATTCTGGTAGAAGCACCACGACCAGTGTACACAATCGGAGAGGGAGATGAGGACAACACTGATGGAACAGTTTCCTGCACGAGCGCGACCACGACCTGGTTGGGGGTGACGAGGCGGCATAGGTATTGGGCTACCATATCCGGAGCCAGGACTGGACATGCCCTCATGGGAGTTGGGAGACTCAGATGAAGTATCCCGATTGCCGGTAGATTGTGTAGAATGTGACGCTCTCGACTCCGTTGAGCGGGTATTCGTAGATGCATGGGTCCTAGGAGTCGAGTGTGTACCGGGAGCCGAAGATACAGAGCCTCCGCGGGCAGGACGGCGAAGTTGGAATGGATAACGAGACATTACAGGCTGCCCAAGACTGGACATCGAACCTGAGGTGCGTGGCTGAGCTTCGCTGTTCTCCTCGACTTCGATCTCGACCTCCCCTGCCTCTTCGTCGTCGTCGTCGTCGTCGTCAGTATCTTCATCCTCTTCATCGTCTTGTCCTGGATGTTCAGAGCCGCTGGTGATTGGCGACCTACGTTTCTCCTTCCTGGAACCAGGGGAAGGCGGGAAAGGGATTTGATCCTTGGATGACACTTGAGCGCTATACGCAGCGAATGGATACGGAAGTTTCAGCAGGGGTGCTGAAGGACCAGTCATCTCCTTGTCCTTCGATGATCTCTTCACAACCTTCGGGATGATCTCAGACAGTTCCGGTGGGGGGCGCTGGCGCCTCCCCAGATTCCTCCCTTGGATAGGAGAAAAGGTCCTCGGAAAGTGCACCGCGTCTTGCTGGCGGTGGCGCCGAAGGGAAACCAACAGCCGCGAGCACCTGCTCGACCTCAAACGGTGGGGAAGTTTCCACCCCTAGCAGTCCCGGGTCTTCCTTCTTTGCAGTACCAGACCACCGTGCAGGAGGCTTCACCGTTAAGCAAAAGTCATAAGCTTCTTGGATGCGGAGACGTGTACAAATTCTCCAGCTCCAGAGAAGAGCATCTGTTTCAGAGGCACCATCGCTGTGGTTGGGCATAGACTTCTCGTGATCCTCCTCCCACCTAGTAGCGTGGCCCACAGAGTCCGGCACAACCCTGGCCAGCTCAGAATCCACAGACCTATCCTGTTCGGTGTCAAAAAAAAAAAAAATCAACAAAAAATCAAAAGAAACATGTTGGCCTTTGATTACTTACCAGCTGAGAAGCAGGACAAGGACACGCCACGCCGTCCAAGCGGCATTGGCAATAAGGAACGCCACGGGCGTAATCCGTTAGTGTACCGTCTGACGCACGGAAGTAAGTTGCATCGCGAAGATTGAGACCAGCTTCGAGCATAGCGACATAATCAGGAGACGCAGATGTGAATGCGAATAGCAAAGTGAGGGAGAGACCCGCTCGAGGTAGCAGAAGCGCGACAGTGGGCAGGTTCTGTGAATAAAACCAGAACGTTTCCGCGATGCCATCACGAAGACTGCCATTTTCGCCAAAGAAGGCCGAGAAGCGGATGTATTGCATGAAACAGAAATTGGTGTAGGACGTCATGCAAGTGAGATTGAAAGCAGAGGAAGAAAAATACAATGGTGTGATAAGCGGTCGCTCTGCATCGTCATTCAGCCTGGAAAATAATTTTACAGATAAATGGCACTCACTAAACACGCCATCGGCGCCAGAAGGAGTAAACAAGATCGTATAGAACAAAAGACCATGGCGATCCAAGCCAGCCAACAAGCTATGTACGCGGCCA